TTAAAAAATGAATAAACTTTGCCATTAAATGAAGAAACTTTGTTGAATTGATTGGTTGCAATTGCTAGGGATTACTTTCAAAGGAAAGCGTATATCCCATCACTCTTGGTTCTGAATTCTTTAAAATTAGACATATCAGAAATAGCATTTCACAAATACTAAAGAATTCTTATGTTATTGAGGTAAACTGAAAAAGTAGAAAATGGTTTTAAGGTTTTTTTTAAACACCTATTTTGAGATGTCTATTTCAGTTCTCATGTGAAGTCCAGAAAGAGTTTCCAAAAAAAAAAAAAAGAAAAAAATTTATAAAAAAAAAAGAAAAAAAAGGGGGGGGGGAGCATGGGAGTCTGCAATGTAGTGATCTGCAGCAGAGCCCTAACATACTTCTGGTGGTGATACAGTATTTTGAAAGAGAAGCATGCAGTACAAGACTGGTAGGGCAAGAATAAGGAAACATCTCATTTTTCAGAAGACAGTGATAAATACTGTATCCTCTGGCTGTGGTAGTAGCAGGTTTTTCTTTCCCCTAACAGTGCCCACCCACTGAGTAAAAATCAATGTATCCAAACCTAAACTGTTTTGGTTGTAGATATGCGGTTGATTCTTTATATACACTAGGCAACTAATTTATTTTGTGGATTTTGTGTTCTGTCAAGGCAGTTTGGATAATAGATGCACCTTTCACGCTGTTAGTTTCATGATACCCAGTCTTCAATGGTAGAGCTGGTTTAAGGAGATTCCACCTCATGGTGTGTCACCACCTCTATTACACTGGCAGTCATGAGGCCACTGAAATTATTCAGGTTATAATCCAGTTTATAATGATCCAGGCTCCCTTGCAAATCCTTTCCCTCCTTTCTTACAGCAAATGTTATTTTTAAACTAAATGATTTCACTAACCTGCTTTACACCACAGCCCCCTGAATTTGCACAAGTCGTAGATGGAGAGAATAAAAAGAAGGGAAAGGCATTTCTTATTCTGCCTTTGCTAATGAAGACAGCGTAGCATGGAATTACAGCCTCAATGCAATTGTGAATCAAAAACTGTTCACGTGAGTATTGTGGGGCAGCAGGTCCCTCAAAGGCAGAAGCTGTGTTCAGAGGATTTCAACTCCACACAGCGCATCGCAGTATGCAGAAAAGCAGCGCCAAAAATTGACTCCATATCCTTAATGTTACTGTCAAGCTTTAACTGAACAGTAGTGACAAAGTAACTTTGAAATTGCCACTTTTTTTTTTAAATTTCAATGGGATTAGTATTACAAATAATCCATGATCTTACATAACTATATACCGTACCGCTTACCTAGTTTCAAATAAAATCCTTCAGACATTCTTGCAAGTATGTGTAAAGTTTTTCCTAGCACTGAAGACTTTTGATCCATTTTGGAGATACACACTGAAACCCAAAGTGTAGAAACACAAAACAAATGGCTGATCTAATTCATGCCACTGTTATTCTTTGCCCACAGAAGGCTTGGGTTCCAGACATGCTATTACCAGTTAATGGCAATCAAAGCATTTTGTGCATAACGTGTGTGAACTGCAATAATTTTGATTTATTTTAGATTGGTGTCACTCTAGTAAAATGAGTATGAACTAACTCCAGTATTACAAAAGAAATAGTTAAACCTACTGTGTTAAAGAACAAGCATGGCAGTAAAGCAAGTACTGTGTAAACATCGCTTCTGCTAGCAAGCCATTTCTTTTAGTTCAAGCATACCTCTAGCCCTTCAAACTGTTCCATTAGTCATTAAAACTGTGTATCAGAATGCCATTTGTATTCTGTCTGCGGGCTTTAGGAAAATGACTATTTTCTATAAATCATAGGAGCATCTAGTGCCAATAGGTCCTTTTCAACGTTCGACATTCTCACCTGCACCCTGAATCCATCTGCGTTGAGAACTACTGGCACAGGCCACAAGCGTTTCAGTCCGTGGGCTTGTGTTCTGGCCACCTCCCTTCCTCTCCCTTCAGGTATATAGGTCACTGCCACTGTAGCTACAGGAACAATGATTTATAGATTCTTCTTAATTTATAGATTCTTCTTTGTTTATCTATTTGCCGATGATGCATAATCCCTCCCTCGCCTGCTTTACAGGCAACCCAGTGCAGCAATTTTAACTACACCTAATCCTTCCCAGCCTTAGACCCCCGTCTGCAGGATTTGTTACACTCTGGCCACCAGTCTGTGAAGTGTTTGCACTCTATAAACTTATAGACTTATATAAGTCTGACTGAATGAAATTACTCCTGTGTGTCAAGCTCTTCAAACATTTTATGAGGTCAAACGTATTACGCAGCATCAGGGGAGGAAAGGAAGCAACTCCGAGGGGTCTTCCCTGCGAGGCCGAGTTTCCCACTACGTGGCGAAATGCACAGCCTCTACTGAGGCCGAATAATCGTTAAAATCAGTAAGCCTGTACGCAAGTGTAGCAAAAATCCACCCGTGTTAAAACATTAACAAATCTGACTGTAGAGCCCAGTGAGACCGTTACAGTGACGCAGCCTGGCCCGTTCGGTGCGCGCTGCCAAGCGTCACCGGGCAGTAACTGCGTCCAGCTCCCGGCTGCTCTGCGGACAGCCTCCCCCCGAGGGAAACACGGCCCTTCGGCTCCCCACCACCTCTGTCAGCGGCTCTGGTGACTACTCACTCTTCACAGGAATGTAAAATTGCACCTGCTTAACTAGAATTGATCACCTTTCTGCTTCCAGAAGGGTCTCTGTTGCCTTGGTTTACTAGATAAAAAAAATTTCTACTACTTGAAGACTTATGATATACTTTTAAAAAACAGTTTAACTGTTCTACTGTTTCTGCTGTATACAGGAATGATCAGCAGATCTCACAGGACGCTTTCCAAACAACAGAGCTGATATCTGTTGCAATATTAAATGATATTTCTAAAAAGTTACTTGATGAACACTCCCGTATTTCTTATCCATTCAAAATGTGCAGTGAAAAAGAGTCCTATGCAACATCATCAAAGGTGGGCAAAAATTTACCCACCCCCTTCCTTGAAGATTGTTTCTTAAAAATCGCAAGCCAAAACACTTACCTTTCAAGTCATTTCCCAACTACTCGAAATCTACTTTTTAGATTTTAATAAAACATACACTACTGTGTATCATTATTTTGGTTTGTAATTAACTATTACAACATTCAAGCTAAAGCTTATTACTTAAAACCTCATTGTACACAACTTAAGCGGTCTTTCCGCTTAGAAACCGCATTTCCAGCAGTAATATCTATTGGACTGTAATGTTAGTTATGCAATAAAAAGCATATTAATAGGGTTATTTCAAAATATTTTTTTTCATAAATGCTAAGATACGGATTGTTAGATATTTGCTAAGAAAAAAAAATGTATTCAACTCTTGAGGAAGAACCAATGAAGCTTTTCTACAATCCAGAGTACGCTCTAAGTCAGAATAGAAGTGCTGTAATCTGAATATGCACCGATACGCTAGGACTTGTAAAATAGGTCGGCTATAATGTACTTCAACAGATCCCATACCCAGGGAGTTCAGGGCTGATAAAACAGGACAGTTCAGCCTCTGGCGCTGTAGATTCTGACACACAGAATGCCTTCGTTTGTTCACAAAAATAACTATACAGAGAAGCCCTTTAATGACTGCATTTTTTCTTGAGTATTTTCCATTTGCTTGCTGCATGTGTTTGGTTTATATGCGGTTTTTTCGTCTTCCCTTTGGTTTGTTGGTTTACTTGGGTGAAGGAATGTAGAAGGGCAAACAAAATTTATTCCTAGGGCAGGATGTTTTAAATTAAAATGCCCAACTCATCAGTGTAGTTTTTACCACATTTTTACCACAGTTACATATAAAAGACATTAATCTATTAGTTTGCTATATAGTCAGAATTTTATATTAAATCTGCACAACAGGTGCAGTTAAAGATGTCAATCATTTACAAAAGCGAAATTAACTATTTTTAACAGGAAAAAATACAGTATAGTTATACCATCAAAATGAAAACTGGCTCATCAAACACTATCTGTACAGAGACATCCAGATGACACAGCATTTCAACCACACAGTTTATTGATACTTCTTTTTTTGGTGTGACTACTAAATAATTAGTGTTGTCAATGCTGTAAATACATTTTAAATTACAAGCTTGTCTTTACATTTTATACACGACTAATTTTACAAATAGAACTTTATGATCAGTTTGTCCAACTTACACGTGGCTGAGCAAAAAGTCAACAATAAATACCGCCTTCTGAAAAATGCTGTAATAGAATGCCATTTTTAGAATTTGATGCAGAGAAGTTATTAGTGATACTGCTGAATACATTCTGCTTTTCTCAGAGATAATTATTTGGCTGTTTGGGATTGGCTCATTTTCAACTAGCCTAATTAGTACTAGTTTTATCTATCGCCGTTAAAGTTTACTAATACAAATACGCAGTGTAAGTTCAGGTATATTATGTGTATTTTAAAAACCCTATGCATTTTGATACCTGTAGGAAAATTCTTCCTCTTATTTTCATTGCTCATGGAAGTGGGAAGCAGTCAGCTGTCTTCAGGATCCCCTTTAGAAAATACGACTCCTCTCTCACTCCTCAGGCTTACTGCTGCTCTATAGAACTAGTCTGATTATTACCAGTGGAACGCAGCCACCGTTTGTTAGCCACGTTAATAGCATTTAGGGTTAAAATGTCATTTATAACGCTGTGAAATGAGTACCTTTATCCCAAAAGGTTTTTTCTACTTGTCTCTGAACACATTCTGCACGAATTAGACTGAGCGATCAGAGCAGTCAGTTTTTAGAGCAGCTAAGTTTGGAATATTTTACAATTCATTTGTAAGTGTGACCCAAGCTTGGGAAATGAGATCCCAAATGAGACCTTGCGCTTTTCAAGGGCAACTCACCCACGGGAACGGTTCTGCCTCCTGCAACCCCAGAGCATGTCAGTGTGACACCCAACAGCAGCAGTCCCTGCGCTCCCGAAGGCTGCATTATTTCTTGACAACTCCTTTCAGCTCTGACTAAAATCGGAGCAGCTCTTCCCAGCCAGGGCAGGCTCTGGCTGCAGAGGGTACCCAAAGTACGGCGGCGACACCAGAAATCCCGACGGCTGGGTCAGGTGGACTGCATGGGCTGTCTGGAAGCAGCCAGATGTGTACGGTGGAGGCGGCGATGCCACAAGGCACCCTGGCTCTGCCCGGGGAAAGGAGAACCTGCGAACGGAGCCGCCCGTCGAACTGGAACTTGTCGCGGTACTGGACTGCCTCGACGGCGTCCTGAAGCTCGTCGAGGCCAGGATCATGGGAAGAGTCTCGGTCTGATAGCTCCGCAGAGAAAATCGTATTGGCTGCGACGGTTGTTTAGGTCTTAAACATGTGCAACAATAAACCGCTACCAGAGAGCCCACGATAATGAAGGCAATGAATATTGATCCAACAATGAGGAATGGAACGTAGATTGGTTCTGGGAGAAGAAAGAATAAGAAAAGCCGCGCACGTTAGCCTACTGAAGTAACAGGTCTGCTGCGTAGAAATAAACTCCATAGAGTTTATGAAGCCCCCCATCGCTTCAGTCCCAGTAACACACAGAGCTGCTCAGCAGACAGAGCTTCCGACTATTACCATTAGAACAAAATTAAAGTTAAACCCTGTATGGACCAGCCAAAATTTCTTTCTGTTGACAGTTTTAATAGTTACCAATGGTAAAAGCTGTCTACACCGTGTCCCGTTTGCTGGTTCTATTCAGGTTTTGCTCAGGAATCGCACTCCTCTTCCCCTCCCTCATCCCCCAAAACCGTCGGGGCTGTCCAATCTAACAGCTTGAATCCGCAGGCAAAGCTCAAATGCTGCAGATGCTGTTAAGTCGCGTGGAAAATAAGGGCAGAATGTGTGACTTAGGAAACTAGTCTCCGTGTGCGCTGCCGGATTTCTTTTGTTTGAAAACCTGACGACCCCTCGCTCGGTGGGGTTGTGCCTGCAGAGCACTGGAGCCCAGCCTCACCTCCGGGAACAACAAAGTGAAACAGACACAGTTAAGTTTGCCCATGCAAACTTAAAATACGAATGCGCCTTCCAGTTCGGATGGATCCAGCTGCTGGGGCCCCTTTTGACCGTGCAGTGAGGACACCGACCGCATC